TGTAAGTCTAATGCACCATGGAACGTTACAATAATGACATGTGCACACAGGAAATCAAATTCCATGGCACTGATTTCTTTTTTTTATTTTATTTAAAACAACAACACAAAACAGTCAAGAATCATCCACATGCAGCTGAGAGGCTTTATCCTTCATCTGCCTCACCCTGACTTATGTGGATAAGTCCCACTTGTTCAGCACATTCATTTACAGCTTGTCCATTTCCTGTGATGAAGAGTGGCGTGAGAGAATCAGACCAGATGAGAGAGTGGAAGCTTCAGTGGAATAAGGCAGCGGGTCACACTGATGCTGCTCTCCAGATTATTGCTGTGATCTCACTCATGGTCATCATGGCCTGGTCTGTGATCTCACTGTCATCGTGGCCTGGTCTGTTTGGAGGAGGGAGATCAGGAACGCATTGATGTGAAGGGCTGGAGAGATGGAGCTAAAATTGTGTGCTGATGACATCTTTTGAATTATAGTAAATTAATAAACACCCAATGTTTGATGCTCATTCAAAGAGTGATACAAGAAAAGAGTGCTACATGGTGAAGCAGGAGGAGAAAGTGACAGAGAGGGACAGGGGGGAGGTGGTGGGATGTGTGGAAGGGCTGGGGGTGTGGATTTGTTGGTTATATTGCCTAATCCAGGCAGCACTGCATCACACACAAACACCATCTGTCACCATTCACATTTGGAGTCAGCTGCAGGGGACTGGACGTGCACTGGCTGTTACAGGCGGATACAGGCGGGTACTGGTGCGTACTGGTGGGTACTGGTGCGTACTGGTGGGGAGGGGGAGGCAGGGCTGGGTCCGCACACCTCCCGCTGCAGCCTGCGCTCTCAGACCGGAGCGGAGGTGGAGGGTGGGGGCGGCAGCACCCTGGTGGTTGGGTGCGCTCAGCAGCTCAGGCACAGAGGAGCGGGCAGGACGCAGAGGAGCGACGCGCTGATGCGGTGACACATGTCCGCCTGAGCACGCTCTCACTGCGGCTTCCACTCTCCATTCACCGCGGGGGGACACAGAGCGGGAGGCTGGACACCGGGACGCCGAGAGACGCTGCAGCCGGACCACCGAACACGATCAACAATACCGAACCAGCTCCGGAGAGACCGGGGGAGCTCCGACACTGCTGGTCGGGGAGTCCTGCTGATCATCGCGCCTCTTGGTAAGCTCCATCCTGGCTCCACCTGTCATCACCTGCAGTGTTGTAGTGACTCATGTAAAGATCTGTCTCATACTGCAATCACAAATACCATCTGTTTTCATTGAGGTGATTCAATCAGCATTGTTTCCACTTTACCTTCACATTTTATTCTATTGGCCACAATAGAGGTGCTGGAAAATTCTGCCATTTCTGGTGTTTGCGTTTACATATATATGTTTTTTTATTTTATTTATATCAGCCATCAAATATAATCGGGGCCTGTATGGAAAGCTCAGCATTCCCAATGTGAAACCCAATGCCTTAATAATGGTCCACATGGCCTGGGCGGTTTAAATGAGCTTTTTTTTTACCTTATTTGCTTGAAAGTTTCAGTGAGCAAACTTTTTCTCTTCTTGTATTATGTGACCTGCAACTAAAACCACGTATTTTAATAGTAACAATAATCACCACCATCATAATTATCATTGTGATGATTATTGAAAAATCTGGGCTGATTAATATTATTCAGATCCTTGGAAATATATTTTATATATTTAGATCAACGTTCTTTGTGTAACAAATAGTCACAGTGAAGTTGTATCAGGTATATTGTCTTCAATATGAAAGCATTTGTATTCTACTGTACTTTCTTAACCTGGAGTAATCATTATACTGCAGGGCTTCAAGTTTTCTTCTTAACTTGTCTTAAATTCATTTAGTTGTTCATGTAATGAAACGTAGTATACATGCCTATATACTTATACATATAAAACACATTTGCTTTATGAGGTGTCATCTTGTTGTAAAATGTGTATTTCCTGAAACACGATTGCTTTTCCCCTCCACAGTGTGACTGAGGGCTTTTGTCCCCGCTGAGCCTCCGTAGCCATGGGAGAGAACATGTCCAAGCGGCTGAAGCTCATCTCGTCATCAGAGGCGGAGATGGAGGAGCGCTCGTTTCCAAACCGCTTCCCTGACTGGGACCAGCGGGTCGTCACGTCCAACTCAGGAGCAGACGGAGACTGCAACGATCCGTTCGACGCAGAAGGAAAGGTGAGAGCGTTTGGTGTTCCCACCATGTTTGTTTTGAAATAAGATCTTGCTAACAGAAGCAGCAGCTAGCTTGGTAACACGCCTGCGCTCGTGGCGTAGTTTCCAACATGATTAGCATAGAAGTGTTCAAAGTGACATGTGAGTGTACTGAAGTGTACTGATCAGAAAACACCTCCATGCTAATGCACTCTGGACAGATGATGATAAACACACAGTGTTGCTACAAGCTGTTTATTCCAGTGTGTCACAGTAAAGTGTGTCCTCAGCACCACAGAGCTCACTGGTGATGCTTGGTTTACAGAGAAACATATTTCAGTTCCAGTGTCATTGTTGACAACTTGAAAAAATATCTAGTGTTGAAGTTGCATGTTGCAGCTGAACACCCCTCACCTCACCCTCTCCTTCCAAACATGGAAAAGAACCTGTGGTAGCTTCAGTTGTCATACAAACTCAAAAGGTGTTTAGTTTGTTCAGTCTGGACTAATGTCAAAAACATGGCGGCCTCCGTAGAGAGGGTCCCCTCAATGTAAATATAACGTATTTAAATATAAAGTATTTAAATATAAAGGGCCTTTTCTGGGGTAAAGAAAACTACAATTCATACAATTTAGATGAAATGAACACATCATGTGAAAATGATGTGAAAACATCATGAGGATTATTCTACAATACATTTCTGCCAATAGTTCCCTTTCACCTAAATCTTACACACTGGACCTTTAAATCCAGTGTCTCTGTGCTCATTGTTCATTTACACCTTGTTATTTTCAAAAATCAATATCATAGTATCTGTTTCACTGTCTGTTATCGTCCTGTAAAGTCTGATGTCATCCTGCACTCATTCTGCATCCAGTGATAAGGCTCTTGGGAGAAGTACTAGCTCCCTCCCTGTGACTATAAATTGAGACAGTGACCAGCGTGCAGGGACCTACACCGTCCCGTTCATCGGCTGAATCCACAGGCATGGGCGAAGGGGGTGGCGAGAATTCTTCAACGACAGAGAGCAGGCTGTCGTCATGACTTTCCATGTTGAGCTGCTGGTTATTGCTAACATGAGGAAGTGACACACATTCAGCATGTTGGCTTCAGTAAACACCAAAAAAATATATGTGACAATTCTTCAATATTATGTTCCTGCAATCCTAGAGGCTGCAGATTAAGCACTGCATTTCAAAGACCATACTTTGTATGGCTTATTCAAATATTACTTTGTTTTTTTACTTATACTTTTTAAGGTTTATTTCATGCAAATACTCATTTTGTTGAATTTGTATCTTCTCAGTCATTGTCTGAAATTAAGGAGTAATATATTTTGATGGTACAGCAAAATCAGTTCATTATTCAAACCAATGTGCAGATGTGGGACTTTTAATTTGTAATTTATTAAATTTTATACAGTATGTGTTACTGATTTACAGTGTGGGTATTTTATGGTAGCTCAATTATCAGACTTGAAATCATATAAATAAACAATTTCCCCTGTACTTTGTATACTCTGTTAATATTCGACATTGAACAACAGATATCATTGTAACCCTGCATGTCAGCTTGCCTTAAAATGCATCGACCACAACGGCTACTATACGAGGTCACTCCAAATTTATGTGCATGTGGTTTGACCGTTTGCAGACATTATATTAGTGAGCATGGTGCCTTTATGTGATGCTGCATTGCCTGTTGTGTTTAGCCAGATGACCATGTGTTGGCATCCGTGTTGTACTAGTGCAGCATTCACATTCAAATGAATAAGAGAACTGAGTTTATTTCCATACATTGCTGTTGTCTATAGAAATGTGTGTGTATTTTTTTGCTGGGTAAAAGATGTTATAAAGAATAAAAAAATGTGGGTTCCAACTAGCACCTCAGTACTGTGTGTGCACTCTTATCTCATGAATTTTGGATATATTGTTATTTCCCACTTGGCATCTACGGCACGTCTGTCCATCCTGGGTTTTTTTTCTGAATAAAAAAAAAAAAGTAGCTTGTCGAGGATTAAGGGTAGAAGATGGCGCACCTACTAAGCCCTATGAGTCAAATTGTTATGTGTGAATACGGGCTATACTTGATATTTTATTAATTTAATGTATGTTTGTCTACTAACAACTAACCAAAAGGGTTTTATGGACTCAAACACTTCACCCACCCCTCCAGTGGTGAGTGGATAAAGAGTGAAATTTCATTATTCCGTGAACTATCCCTTTAAGGTATTGGGTCAACATGTGCATCATGTTGGGTCAACTTCAATGCTGTAGGGATGAACACCAGTCTTCTGAAAGATCTCCCCTCGTTTGGTGTTTTTAATGATGGTGGTGGGGAGCGCTAACTCTAACCTATAAGTCTTTAATTGGGTTGAGGCCATAGAATAATAAAATTAAATAAATAAAATTGAAACCATTCATTGAGTCTTTGTGCCCTGTGTCCAGGTATCTGCTTTTGCTGTGTCTTCACTGTTTTATTATGTTTTATGTTAATTACTCTCTTCTCTGTGACAATACATTTAGAGGGAAGTTAATTAATGCCGCAATCCTATTCTCTGTTTTAGCACAGATTGCAGATTGTATTTCTGTCCTTACATGACTTTTTGGTTTAGAATATGCATTGCAGTTAAATGACATCTTAGAATTTCTTGATCATTGCATTACTTGTTGTTTTTGGCAGATTTACCATCAAAACTATAAGTAATGTTGAATTTCAGATAGAGGCTGACAATAGCAGCTGCTCATTTCATTAGTGCTATAGTAGATTTTAACTGGTCTTGTACATCAGATGTGAAGGATGCTCTGTTGTCATATGTTGACCTTCATAGAGGTAGAGCGGGTCAACAACTGACCAGAAGGTTGATGGTTCAATTCAATCAGGTTGGCTCCTCCAGTCCACATGCCAAATGGTCTTGATGATCACTCAATGCTCTACACTACTGTTTAGTCATCCACCCATTCACACACACACATTCTTACAGTGTATTTATATGCAGCAGGACAGAACTGCTAGCACTCAGGATTGGCGTCCACACAGCGAGGACATGGAGGCGTGTGATCCTGAACAGAGTTTTGTTTTTCATGTGTCCTGTATCCCTGCGAACTAACTTGGTTGTAAATGTTGTATTTGTAAGGTAATCAGCTTCATAGGCAAATGTATGTATTTTACTTTGGAGCAGATAAAAACTTTGTTTATTCAGTTTCTTACACTAAGGCTGTTGCACAAAAAAGACAACAACAAATTGTCTCTCCTTCTACTGTCCCAAGCTTACATTTAGTCAGTCAATGGATCGGTCATTGACAGCAAGTGCATAATCTATGAACACACATTTGCCAGAAGCTGCACTTTTGATGATTTGCTTCTTGTCTTAATTTCATATCAATGTTTCTCAAATGACAATATTTGTCAGTTGCACCTAACCTTTAAGCCCATGATGCATTGAGTGGAATGGAGAAATCAATTGCAGTCGGCAATCAGCTTGTTTGAGGCTGTTTGCACAGGACCGAGTTTGAGCAGATTGAAAAACTTGTTCTCAAGTGGTTCTTGTTAATTAATCAGGCCAGTGAATTGAAGTAAATGGGTGTTTAATCCAACAAACATCAACAACAACAAATATCCTGCTGTGTGCACCCCCAGACTCTCATAGGTGTTAGTTTGAGGAGGTGACTAGTAAGAGACACTGAAACCTCTATGGCTGCTGTGATTCATTCAGTTCACACTGTAGTCTGTATGTAAATGGCCCTGTAGAGGATTAATTATCTCCATATACATGATCAAACCAGCCTTTGAAGCACTAGCTGACCTATGCCGTTGGGTCTGTAAAGGGTAAATAGAGCCTTGTGTAAAATTACCTTATTAAACGGCTAAACGAGTTTGGGTCATAACCTGCCTGAAATTATTAAGCTTCCCATGTCTTACAGCACACAATGGACAAACACACCAGCAGGCTTTTTTTAGACCCCAAGGCAGATGTAAGGTTGCAGCTCATTGATTCATTGAGCCTTCTTAGATTAAAATCTTCTTTTTCATTTATTCGATTGATTTATGCAAAGCAGTATGGGGAGGTTGTAGGTGTAATGAGTAAAGGTGACATTAGTTTTTAGTCATAGGAAACAATCTGCAGTTGATGCTTATTAATATTGATATTCATTAATTGTAATTAATTGTTTCTGCTCCTGTTTCTAAATATGCTCTCTGTCCTCTTTAGGTGAACGCAGCATTCCAAAAGAAAGTCCAGAGTAAGATCAAAGATCTCCTCCAGCAAATGGAGGAAGGCCTGAAGACTGCTGACCCACATGACTTCTCCACCTACACTGGCTGGACAGGTCTGTCTCCAGCACCATGACATGCCAGTTCCATGAGTCAGGTTCAACCCAGCACTTATCCCCAGTTTATTGACCACTGTACATCTATTCTCTTTCCCACAGGTATTGCCTTGCTGTACCTGCAGCTGCACCGGGTGTCCCAGGAGGCCTCCCACCTGCAGAGGGCACTTGACTATGTGAAGAGGGCCATGAGGATCCTGAATAGCCGCAAAGTGACGTTCCTGTGTGGCGACGCAGGGCCACTGGCAGTCGGGGCAGTGGTCCACCACAAACTCAACAACACTGCTGACAGCAAAGACTGCCTCTCTAGGTGAGTGGCTTCCACTGCGGATGCTGGTTGGGATGTGATCGTACACGGTATATAAAAATGGACTTGGACTTCAGGTCTTGGAAGGGAGGCCGATGTGGTCAGTCAGTTTCTGTAGTTTCTTCAGTTTCAAGTCTTTTTCAAGACTGCATGATGTTAAGCTCCCATTTAGAGTAGAAGATAAAGGACCTCATGAATTGAGGCATGGATACATTGTGACTGATAGCCACTTCTGTCCAATTGGTGCAGGTTGCAGGTATAGGTGGGCATGCAGTATCATGTTAAAAAATATGGATGCTGTGGACAAAATGTGTTTTTGCGTTAAGAGCCTTTAAATGACACAATTACACCTGTTTGTTCCAGCATGATAAAGAAGAGGAAAGACAAAGGATTAAGTGTGACAGGCATATAAATAATTTAAAGGAGACCTATTATGCTTTTTCAGTCTTTCCCAGTCCTCTAGTTGGTTGCATGTGTTTTTTGTGAATCTATTTGGGGTGCATTGGTCAATATCCTAAAGTCTGCAGCACAGAGAGCTCTCCGCTCCCACAGTTAACACTTTTATCACCTTATCTTAGATATTTCTACTTCGACTTCCGCTGTGCATCAACGTCACAGTTTGCCTATTTGCTAAAGCACTTATACATTTTTAAACGTACCTGAACTCATCACCATAAACTCTCTTAACATGTTCGTCAGTGTCTTATTTTCTTTATTTTTGCGTCTGTCTCATATCGGACACACATGCACCTTCTCTGGAGAAAATCAGAGGATCTGCAGAGTCCAGTGCATGTCTGAAAGCAGCTTTTGTCTTCTTTAAACCATATTGTTGTGTATTATATGGCAGCCTCATCCCTATCAGTGATTCTTGTGTGTTTCTGTCAGACTCCTCCAGCTGCAGAGGTCAGTGCTGAGTCCAGACTCTGAGATGCCAGACGAGCTGTTGTACGGCCGGGCCGGCTACCTTTATGCCCTGCTCTACGTTAACAAAGAGATCGGAGCTGACACGGTGGATGAGAGCACCATTGTAAAGGTGAGACACCACATATTTATGGATTCTTTACAATTCCATTATTGTTGGCTTTGGTCTATTTTTAATCCAAGTAACACAAAACAATGGTTATTTTTTTACGTGTTCACATTGTCCAGGGTGTCATTCCCAAATTATGTTTGAACAACTCCATTTCTGTACTGTGAATTTTCAATTTATATTCAAATACACACTGGGACCAATTACTCAATTTCTACCAAAATATTATTTCCTGGGCCAAAGATTTGAGATATCTCTAATTTAAGTGTTCTGAGACTAACAGTTCTAGGTTCTCAGTGTTTCACAGTTACAGCATCTCAGTCTAATAAATAATGTTGAGGAGGTGAATATTATACCTGTGAAAGCTTCTTTATCAAGTACTGAAAAATACATAGAAATCTATGTTGTTTTCTCATTGCAAATTCTATGTTGTCAATGAAACAGGAAAAATTCAGTATCCATTTTCCCACCGTAGCTACAGAAGCAAAGTAAACGGACAAAAACTTTTACCTTAAAACCTAGTGGTCAGAATTTCAGAATGTTCTGCTGTTATTAGGGTTTTTTATTTTGCCAATATAATGGTCTTCTCCTAAAAAAAATGTACCTAGGAACCGACACTTAATCTATATTTTAAATATTCATTCATTCAGTCCATCCTGACTATGCTTGTTTACTTATTCTCAGACACACAGAGACACCGACTCAGCTGAGATATCTGACACGCACAGTTTATATATACATTTAGATTCTCAGTGACACATGGTTGTTGTTCTTTTTCTTTTTGAAGCTACCGCCATAATGTCAACGCTGCTCACCAGATAATGATAGATACTCTTATTTAATGAGGAATATCATCATAGCTGTGTGTATTCATCCATTCAGGTCATTCTGAATCTGCTCGCTGTCTTCCTCTATCTCTCTCTCCGCCTGCACAAATTGATGATTGTTGGGTAGATGTGGCCGAATGGGAAATTGTAGCACATCGCCACCCTAGTTGTCATGTTTGCTAGCTTACAATGTTATTTTTGTTTCTTGAGAATAATTTTTGTGAGCATATTTTCAATTGAAGAAAAACTTAGTGTGGAAAACCTTTAACTGTCCTGGATGTGTGCTGTTGCTGGCCTAATGCTGTACAGTTTTGATTATTCATTTGGCCACAGGTGTAGGCTGCAGTTGGCAGATGTGGATATGATTTATTAATGAAGGATGTGTTATCATTTTGGAGCCAAATTAGGACATTGACTGTTAAGATTAACCTGCATACTGTAGGAAGATCACTGTTGTATTTATTCTCTGCATAATTCTGTGCTTATTTAAAGACTATCAAAGCCTATAACTGAACTGTCATTGTTGTAGCTGTTGTTAATTTTGTCGAAGGGTTTCCACTGAAACTTGGGAATGAAAGAATCGAATTTCCTGCCTTTTGTCGATAATCACTTTTTCATGTCAGAAAGTGCTTTATTGTTTTTCAAATTGAGTGACACAGCCATTTTGAAAACAGTTCAATTTTTTAGTTTCAAAGTAGGAAATCGATCAGAACAAAGGTACCTGGATTGAAAATGTGCACAGAAAGGTTCCTCAGATAACTTGAGTCATTTTTCTCAGTGAGGTTGCTGTAATAACCAACTGCTCTCACTGAGTAGGGACTTGTGCGCACACACACACACACACACACACACACACACAAAGTTTGTTTCATTATCTCGCTCTCCATGGTATTGTGTATGTCTGTCTTTTTTGCCCACATAGTTTTGTGCTCAGGCTGGTTATATGCACTGGATTGTCTTCTCTGACTGACAGCTTGCAGAGTAGGTAGTGTCTCTCAGTGCTGAAAAGTAAGTTTAGAGTCTGTGTCTTTCCATCAGCAGATTGTCTAATGTTTGGGTTCCAGCAGACGCTGTATGTCTGCTTCGTGACAGCACTGCAATATGAGAAAAATAAAAAAATCTGCCTTTGTTGTCTTCTGCAGCAAATACCAAAAGTCTGTGTTCTCATGGTAAACATGCCTCATTTTCTCTTCATACCACAACCACAACTCAGGAGCAAAAATCTAACTTAAAAATGTAAAGAAATAATAATGTGATACTTATCATGATAATTATTGACATCAACTGATGTGAAAATATCTTGATATCATTTTTGGTAATCATCCAGCCCTAGCATAATGATTTTATAATATAGAAATATGCCCACAGTGCATTAAAACTGCTTGGTAATTTATTCAGCATATATTTGGTGTATACTTCAGGCTAGAAGAGCATGTGGAACAGCATTTCTGTGGTGAGACAGACGATGTCAATAATCGTTGCTGTTAGTCTAACTTGTGTGGAATCTGATCAGAAGGCTGCTTTGTTTCAAACAGGTGAAATTACAAAGTATAAACATTTATCAAAAATCAGTTGAGTTGAATCAGAACAATGTCTCCTGCAAACTGAACTGTAAAAGTATGCGGTCACTTACCCGCAGCACTCCAGCTCCAGCTGATGTCAGCATATATACTGACAGCACTGACGCACTATGAGTCTGGGACTCTGTCGCTCCTGTCATTAGTTTGGATATTGTCCTGACTCTATTCTCTTTACAAGCAAATGAAAAAAGCCTTAACACTAGATTCAGTTAGTTATTTTGACTCTGATAGGCCAGTTGTGTTCAGAGAGATGAGATTCAGCCTCCTTAAACCTCTTGGTGCTTCATCCCACCAGCTCTGGTTTGTTTCCAGCGATTAATTAGCACAGTAAACAGATTAATTTCCCCTAAATTAGATGTTCTTCCTTTCAGAGAGACGGCTGATTGCTTATTGAGTTGTGTGCTCGTCTGTGTGTGCTTCTGTCGCAGTCTACACAGCACACGTTGTGAAGAATTAGTTATAGGAAAAAGAAGGGAGCATTTGAGGTGAACAGATTGAGGTATAGATGTATAGGAGTGAAGGGATTTGTAAATGAACAAACTGGTTATTAATCTGCTATGTCATATTACTGCTGCACCATATCTTGCATGGGGACTAATTAAACTGCTGACTCAGAACCCCCCAGCCCCTACACCCACACATGAATATACATGCAGTGCACACTGTATATAAACCAACCAATGGAGTAAAGCAACAATCTCCACAGAAACCTTGAGGAGGGTTTATAAAAACAGCGGCAACTCTAAAATGTAAAAATGAAACCAGCAACCAACCAACCAGAGACCCCACCGTCTGGTCCTCAATCCACGACCAACAGTCCTTTTTCACTGCAGAGATTGTGAGATGATATAGTTCATAAAGACTTGTGTTGAGAATCACAAAGGAATGTTCTCTGTGTTTACGGACTGCATCATGTCAAAATGGCTGCTGTGATTAATGTTTGTTGGATGAGTGAGCTGTGTCTCAATCCGAGGGCCGCTTCCTTCAGAGGCTGAGTTTGTAGACTCATTACATCACTGCAGTGCGACTGGACTGTCAATTTGAAGGATCTGACCAATGCAGCCGATAAATGCACAGCGGAGGCTCCACCAGGTGGACCCGGCTCAGCTTATCCAATGATTCATTGCGCTTCTGTGACTTAATGTTTTTCAAAGAGGTAACGGCGGCAGCAAGAGAAGTCACAAACGTCAGAAGAATATATTATTTAAATGTTACTACTCAACCGAACAGCTAACAGTAGACCTCTTCTTTATTTACCTCATTATGGTTGAATGTTGCCAGTTTTGCACTGCGACTCGCAGGTGTAATCAAATCAAAGAGTGAAAAGAAAAAACTACTGAAGGGAAATTTATTCTGCCCTTTCATACAAAAGGATGTATGTCCATTTCAAACAATGGAACCGTCACTGCACACATACTTCAATACATCCTTACGTTGGCATGGTTGTAAAGTAATACATCCACTAGAGGGCAGTGCAGCGTTGACTGTTTCTGACCACAACAAATAGGAAAGAGGAGGAGGTATGTATCTGGGTGACGTATCATCATTTGTAGTCTCTTACCAACTCTTAAAATCTCACCTCAAACAGTTCAACCACAATTTCTTGTCTGTGTCTTATTGTTGTCCTGCTTGACCTATCGTCCACACTGCTCCCTTTGACTTTTGGTGGTACTGCTCCGTTCTTTAAGGTTTTGACGGCTTTCAGAAGACGTGCCCAAATACTGATGAAATGAATGCAGGTTAAAGACAGACGGCTCTGTCCGTCTCCATGTACATATCTAACATTTAGCACAAATGTCTGAAGCTTAACACAACAGAATCTCCAAATCTTAACCATGTTGTCGAATCAAACGTAATATATTTGAGGCTCTGAGGAGTTCAAGGGGAGAGGATGTTTGGACATGGTTTCTGGGCCTCAGTTCATTGAAACAGCATTCTGAACCAACGCATCGGATTTTCAGTTACAGAAAACAAAATGGGTGCACACAATTTTGAAATTGGCATGTATAGTTGGTAGCGCTACAAAGACCTCTGCTCATTTATGTCAAATGTTGGTCCGTCAAGAAGAGATGAGGTGTGCCTGTGGTGGTCCCTGTTAGTGGTCCTTGTAGCTGTGGTTCTATGAGCCTTTGTGTGTAGTTGCTGGGTTACGTTGATGTGATTGTTCCGCACAGTCCAAATAATCCAAACTGAAACACACAATTCAACAATGTCCAATCAATTAGCTGTAAAATCTCGGGCCCAGATTTTCTCCAGTTTGCTTTTCACACACGCACAACACAGCGAGAGGTTCCCCGCTCAGATGCTTTCACAACAGCAATTACATTTTCCGCAGGATTCGGGTGAGGGGATCTGCAGCAGACAGAAGCAGCATGTCATATATTTATTGCGCTGTGTTTCTGTTGCCAGCACATTGACACTTGGTCGGCTTTTATCACCAGAAACTCTCTTGACATCTTGATCTACGTGTATGGCTCTGCCTTTCCAAGAAGCATTCTAAACCGCCCCCGCTCACTTGCCGTGAAGCCTGTGGGGAATCTCCTGCTGTGCTCGTCTCTTTCAGAGTTTCTCTGCCTGGCACCCCAGTAGAAACTCTGTAGAAACTCAGGAGGCTTTCACTCAGACATTTGCACACACACACATACATGTCCTCCAGAGAATCTCTGGAGTTCAGTGCATGTCTGAAAGCAGCTTAAAGGTCCAGTATGTAAGATATAGTTGAAAGGGAACTATTGGCAGAAATTTAATGTAGAATAATCCTCATGATGTTTTCACTAGTTCATTTCATCTAAATCGTATGAATTGTAGCTTTCTTTTCCCCAGAAAAGACCCTTTATATTCAAATACTCTCTCTACGGAGGCCGCCATGTTTTTTACATTAGTCCAGACTGAACAAACTAAACACCTTTTGAGTTTTTATAACTGAAGCTACCACAGGTTCTTTTTCATGTTTGGAAGGGTGAGGTGAGGGGTGTGCCATTAAGTGTTCGAATAATATATTACATATTCTCACCACTGTGCTGCATAAACATGAACAAAGAACAAAAACTGTTATGGCTCCAACATTGACCCCAAAACATATGTTTTATCAGTGAGCTTATATTAAGCCCACACAGGAAAGGATCTTGATCTCTGGCTCCTCTTTTTAGCTGTTGACATTCTCAGCTCGTTTGTTCCTCTCAGGGTTTGCTTGACCTTTTCATAATGGGAGCCACTGACGCATGTGTATTGGTCTCAGTTATATGGACTCAAATTAGGGTCAAGAATGTTTTGAACTTGAACAGGAATGTTCACAAATAATTAAATTAATGAAATAAAAAGATCTGTGACACACAGTGAATTAAAATCTATTAATTAATATCATGTCCAGAGTTGAAACGTTCCTTTTGCAGTGCAGATACTTCACTTAATAGCTGTCCTAATCTTTTTTCCTCTCAACATTTTAAGAGCTCTTTACACATACAAGGTAAATCTATTAACTACAGTATGGGCAAAATACATATAATTCCACACATTAGAGGAGTGTTAAAACAGCTTCATATTTAGTTCAAATTCAAAAGACTTTATTGTCATTGCGCAGTCGTACTTTGTACACGAGCACAACAAAATTGTGGCACAGTCCTCCTCCTCGATGCCAAACATACAATTAACAAGACACAGTCCACTACAAAAATTGAAATAAAAATAAGGGGATCGCAGGACCAAAGGCATTTAAAGAAGTGGATATACTATCAAAAATAAATGATTGTACCGATAATGTACCGATACATACAGATAATATGCATAAGTGTTTTGCACCATTATAAACAGATATTACACTAAGTGTTTTATATTGGAGAAGTGCAAACTGTAGAGAATAAATACTATATGCCGATAGTGTGCAGATATATCTGGATAATATTCAAAAGTGTTTTTTTGCACCGATAATGCCCCAAAAGTGTCCCACAGTGTTAAATACTATATATGGTGATTATAAAAAGTGTTTGAGCAGAAAAAAATCTAACATCCCACATCTGGCCTAACAATGCTTGTGTTGCAGTAGCTCCAGTGAGTCAGATGCAACGTGACAAACACACACTGTGGACATCACAACACCAACAACAGCCTCCTTCTGTCTGCCCAGCTAACCGCACCAGTAGAGCCAATAATGCAGCGCTGTTGCTGCGAGAGATGTGTGAAACAACACCCTCTAAATCCAGTATGGAATGCAGCACCAAGGCCTCAAATCAGTTCGGTCAGTTGGGCAGAGAGAAGGACCCTCTTGTTGATGCAGTGATGAGTTACTACGACACAACCTTAGTGTTTAGGCGGTATGAATATATTTTCTATTAGGAGGTGTTGGTTAAATGTAGTTTTTAATACAGATAAACTACAAGAGGCATCAAATCAACACACTAGAGGAGGATAGTACACGGTTTTCATTTACAGCAAGTTTGGCAGGAATTAAGATTTTAAACTGTATAAACGCCATTTTATAATGATGTCATCATGACTTCACTCAACCAATATGATGATTGGTAAATCTAAATAAGCTGTAAATAATGCTGAATCTTATTAGTTGCAATAATTGATTACTATACTATGTGACAACATTTTCAAACTTCTCAATGAATGCCACCATAAACTCATAAATGATTTTGTAATCCACATAAGCTCTAGATTGTACGCACAATAAAGAGCGAAAGAGAAGTTCTGCATGCGAGAGAAATTTATTCAACACCACTCATGTGTATGCAGCTGAAATTGAGGTCTGATTGTTTGTGTGGATGGTAAAAACTTTATGGACGATTGCGCGAGAGACCTAGAGAGCACAAGGCAAATAGCGCAGCAGAAAGCTTTACAAAGAATCGATGGAGTAAAACACTGACTTAGAGATCTCTTATGTTATAATGCAAAGTTTCAATATTTTGGTTCATTATGACGCAAAAAAAATAATCATATGATTGGGAATCATTTTCTGATCAGAGTGTATTTTTGTGTCGAACTAGATACCCTCACATGTAACATCCCCAGGGAGTTTAAAGACGAGCGCACACACACAGACACACACTCTCTCTCACATGTACATCAGATTCGTGCTTAATTACACAAAGTCAAACTTCAATATAGGTTTTCATTGTATTTTCTCCAGGTTGAACACGCTGATGCTCTGTCAGGTTATATTCAGACCAGTCACTTAAACCCTCTTCTTTCTCCAAATTTCAGGTGGTGACAGCCATTGTGGAATCTGGGAAGACCATGTCAGCGGATCAAAAGAAGACAGATCGCTGTCCTCTGCTCTATGAATGGCACAAAAAGCAGTACATCGGTGCTGCTCATGGCCTCGCAGGAATCTATTACACACTCATGCAGGTAAGAGACAGGAAGTGGCTGGGTGGGCTGGTGGGAGGATGGTTGTTTCTTCTGTCTGAACAGCTAGGTTTTAAAGACATTGTTCTTGAGATTAAAGTCTGGCCACTAGGTCATAGCAACGATCACAAAGCATGAGTAAGACCAAGTACGTCTCAATATGAAGACTACATACTGGCTGCCATAATATTGATATTGTGTTTTTGTTTTTGGGATTTGTTGCTTTCATGGTTTTTAGGACCATGATCTTGTGATAAAGACTATCATAAATAATAATTAGATATTTTTCTCTTTATGATAATGTTTCACAATGGTTATAATGCTCAGATGTTCTTTTCATAGTTGATCCTGACCAATTTATTGGTAGGCTCATTAAAAATTAGCCAAATGAGCATCTGTTCATATTTGCTGATTCAAAAACGTTTATTTTAAATGCTTAATGGTCTGTATTTATAAAGCGCTTTTCTAGTCTTGACTACTCAAAGCACTTTATAGCACAGTTTACTATTACAGAACAGGTAACACATCTCTCTCTCTCTGTCTTGCTCTCTCTCTGTATATATAGATATCTATATCTATTTAGATGTGTTTGTATGTGTCTGTCTGTTGGCAATATATTGTTATATATTTTTTATTACTCAGTATCTTTATAATATCTGCCCCTACAAATCCGTAGGTGTTGGGCTTGACTTCGTAAAGGGAATTTCTTATCTTAAACCCTTTCAATCCTAAAATTGGTCACTGATTCCGCTTCAGTATTGGTTTTGATTATACTGGACTCACTATGAAGTCCAGCTAGTGACATGAATCAGTGGCTCTGTGGTTAAACGTCAGTGGAATGTGGAATGTTTGGAGGGTCTTATTGTCCTGGGCTGAGAGCCAGTAGAGCTGTTACGTCCCACAGTCACGCATCACAGAAGTGTTGTTGGCTTCACTGCTTCACCCTGAGATCAGCAATGGACGTGCATGAAGTGGATCTCTACTTGACTTTAGTCTGGAGCTACTGTAGTATGTACTATGAATTCCTCTCAAGTGAGAAGCCCCAAAGTGGAGTAAAAGGTAACTTACTCTGCCGTTTAAATATTTCTTTGCAACATCGAGCGGCAGAGAGTAGAGTGAGTGACGTCAATCCACACAGTTCATTGTGCATTGTCTCTGTTCTGAACTCATTGTTACAGGAAGGTGTGTGTGTTGAAAATAATCCTATTTATTTATCATATCTTTTTACAGTGCTGCTTCAGGGTTTTGAAAAGTTTTCTGATCATAAAGTCTGAATTTGAATGAGGGACATTGTGCACAGTCAGCTTCTTTCCCCTCTAAGTCACCAGGATGCCCCATAAAATGAGCCCAGGTATCTTACTATATGAAATGGATGCGCTGACCTAATGTCCACTTGTCACTTACTTATGTTCCAGCTCTGGCTCCACTGGGCAACCAGTGCCCACCCACTGCTATTCAAGCCAGTGTGACTGGATATGTGACGTGAAAGTCTTACTTGTGGATCACGTGTGGCTTTTGTCCCCACTTGGATTTCACCAGATCTATTTTTGCAGAGAATTGATGCATGAAAATCACAATGTCTTTAAATGTTTGTGTTGATTGACAGGTGTAAAGATTCTTACAGCAAAGTTTGTTAACTCTGTAAAGTCTGTAAACTGTTAGATGGTTACTGTTGAGGAATTTTTGACTATCCTCACACATTACTGTATATGCCACTATAAACTGTATTATGCATATTGTATACTGTATCTGTACAAGAGCAGAGTGCCAGGCTAATTCCACAGATACTCCCTTCTCTCTCTAAGCAGTACCCAAGGTCAGGTTATAGATAACGGACCAACCAACAGTGAATTGTTGGGTCTACGCTTAGAGACTTTCATATCTACCTCAGATTCCCCAGACAGACAGAGAGACACCAGCTTCAACTCTTTTGTGTATTTCACCAGTGGCAACACATAAGGACACAATGTGATTTAGGAATGCATATTTAGACTTAACCATCCAATAGGATGTGAACACCTGCATGGAACATAGAGAGTGACAGCAGATGCTGTGGGAGACATCTTCAGACTTGAAGGTGACAATTGCTCATGTTACTCTTGTTTGTATATTGTTTCACCTTCTGGTCCTTGATGCATCAAGTCTACATTAAAATCTTCTGCATAAGACATCAGCTGCTGCCTGAGTTCTCCTTTCACCAGCTTCCATAAAACTTCCATAACAGTTACCATATCTATTATAAGCTAGAAGGGTGCTCAGAGAGTGCATACCTCTGCCGAGGCTTTTATGTTAAAGAAAGTGGGGAAAAAAATGAAGCTCTCTCCCCAACTCAAAGGCTGCTTGGAGACATTTCAATCAAACTATCAACTGCCTCCACACCGACACAGGTGTTTTATTGATAAACCTTATACATGGCCATGCAAGCCGGTGTGTCTTCAACAAATATCCATGCACCTTGAGAGCAGGGGGATAATAAACATAAACAGTCTTTATACGATAGAGAACAGCAACCACCCACAGCAACCAGAATGCAAGACAACCACCTCAGGGGACATAATGATTAAGGGTCAAGTTTTTCTTGATCAGAGATCAAATTAAAAACAAAACTGAAATATAATTGAAGAGCTCTCAAAGAAATCAAATGTGTCTGTCGTTCTGAGAGGCCACATGTGAAGGCGGAGTGAAATGACAGCCATCACAGAGGGATCTTTTCCCCTCTGTGATGGCATTTAAATGTAGCTTAATGGCTATTCCACACCCATCATGCAGTTGTGTTGAAGTGCTCTGACTGATTGATACTTTTACTCTCCTGTCTCCTCTTCTGACTCAAACTGCCTCAACATGATAAAGATTAAAAGGAGGAATCATATCATGGTGCCGAAGTAGGATGATAGAGTAAAAGTGACCAATAAAGAAGCTCTCTCTCTTTCTTTGTCCCATTTAAGCCAGGAGCAAAGGTCCAAGCAGACGTCCTATCTGAGTTGGTGCGTCCCAGCATCGACTACGTCCGCCACAAGAAGTTTCGCTCGGGGAACTTCCCGTCATCCCTGAGCAACGAGAGCGACCGGCTGGTCCACTGGTGTCACGGAGCACCTGGCGTCATCCACATGCTCATCATGGCTCATAAGGTGAGACAGGCTTATGGATTGTAGTGTGCGGTTCACATCACATAGCTCATGTGTCTGAACCTATACAGTCTGTGGTCTGAACTCACCAGTGGGCTAAGAATAATAAAGCCACGTGTTCCATCTCAAGCACGTGAACAGCGCTGGCCCCTTGTGGAAAGGCTCTGCACTACATGGACGGTGTGTGAAGTCACTGGCATGTTGAAATGTGTAGAAGGATTTTTCATTACTTCATGAGACGCAGACGTTATCCTGTCATCGATGAACGTGACTGCAGTTTATTACAATGCTATGTGTGACTGACTGAACACCAAGTCTTTCATTTCATTACACACACACAAACACACACACACACACACACACACACACAGCAGTAATGCTTTGTAGGCTACTTTGTTCGCCTCTTGGCAGTTAAACAGCCACTTGGCATCTAATATGCTGCTATTGTAAGATTTCTCATTCCTCTCACTAATGCAGAGGCTCTTTGATAACACACAGTGGAAGACACTATGACTTCACACTGTCTCACTTTGAACAATTCTGACAATTCTTGCTGCAGGAGGATTTTTGGTGGCTGCATTTTCTCAGTGGAAAATCTTACATTAGCTGAAGTGTGTACCTGCGAAATGTCAATGCAGCCTTTCTGTTCCTTTGTTTAAGATACAAGTTTCAAAGATGTTTATTGTCTCTATACTCTGGTGCAGTGAATTATAATTTGATTTATAAACTTTTAATCAATACAGGAAAGATGTGACTTTATGTTGTAATTTGACTCTCTTTATCTAGTTCTATATGTTTTATTTCTCTTTTTTAGTATTTATTATAAAGTTTATGGTTAACACATACACACAATGCTGACATTTGCTGCATTTCAGACACGAGGCTTGGTTTTATCAAGGGAACTGACGGCACGGCTCAGAGACAGAATCGTTTCAGGGGCAGACTTTCACAAGAGCATCGTGAATACATTATATTATTATATTATTATAGTCTATTACAAGAAGTGGACTTGAAATAAATAGCACAGACTCGAGAAGCTTGAGAGGCCTTTGTGGTTTTGGTCATTGGACTTTCTTTACAGAAAAGGGTATTAACCTTTTTCTTTTTCATGGTCAAAATGGAAAGCCAGAATAAAAGATTGTTTGATTTTCATTTTGTACAGCAAAACTTTGGATTACATATCATCATGGATAAATCTGACAGAGAATATTACTTTGTTTTCACGTTGTACTTTGCCAAGGAAGATAATATTATCTATCTCCATTAGTTTCAAATCAACACATGTATGGCAGTCATGCAGTTCTCAACAGGAAAGCAGAACTCGACATATCACCTGTTTTAGAATATAATTTGGCTTTCCTTTCCTTTTTTTTTTTTTTTTTTTTTGTTGATTTCAAATAACCAATAGTTTTTTTAAATCAAATAATTTTTTTCAGCTGCGTCTGACAGGTAATCTGTCAGCTCTTTTATTTTTTTTGTTGTGGATTGGATTTCTTATCTACTAAAGAGTCAGGCATGACAGATCTCAGGATTTTGCGCCACACATGGCTTTTGTCCCTCTAACTTGTTACTGTGACGTGCTGAGCAGACCCATTGAATTGAATGATTATATACTTTAGGTGGCAGTAATGCAACTAAACCTATTATTAACCAAGAAGAAGAAGAAAGTGGACAGTTGGAGGAACAAATATGGAACATGGTCATTGGTTCAGTGTTATGAATTTGTCAGGTCTGTCAGTGAAAAGTCATTGCTGCTCTTATTTACATCATTTCATGCCAAGAACATGTATGTTGTGGTTGTTACAAACTGCTTCTCCGTCCCTGGTTTTATTTGGCTTTATATGTGTCTGTCTAGATCTTTAAAGAGGAGAAGTACTTGAAGGAAGCTGCAGAATGCGCAGAGGTGATCTGGCAGCGCGGCCTGCTCAGGAAAGGCTACGGCATCTGTCACGGCACCGCCGGCAACGGCTACAGCTTCCTTACTCTATACAAGATCACCCAGGACAAGAAATACCTGTACCGGGCCTGCAGGGTAAGACAAAGCATCAGCCCACATAGATTGAGCTAAAACACAGGAAAAAACAACTTGATAATATCCTATTTTAGGATCAGCCTTGTTAAATTAATATCCTGATGTGTTTCACATGAAAGTAATGTGAGAGACAATTGAGTTGATCAATCTCATGGACATGGGTCGCTGGTCCAAAAAAGGAATATACTGTATGTTCTAGCCTTAAATCGATTTCTCTTCTATGATGATCTGATTCCAGACATTAAAAAAAAGATTACATTAAAAAAATAAATAGATATTTGAATAGGCAACAATATCAATGAATCCATTTACTATTTAATCTACAACACAGATAATGTAGTGATTGGTTTCTGACAAAGATGATGAATAAAAGGACATTCATTTGGCTCTTTTTCGTTTTCAAATTGGCCATCAACAGTTACATTAGTGTTTTATGCCAAGTCAGTGCCAAGAACTCTAAAGCAGTAATATTCAATATCAATTAACAGTCAAGGTATTATTAATGGTATATGGTAACGTACTGAAAAGATTAGAAAATAATAAGATGCATGTGTTTGTTTAACAGCCTCATAACCTGCTGGCATCATTATTTTACAAAGCAGTATTCTTTCATAGTTTTCTAATGGGACCAGCAGCCTTCACACAAGTGAAGTGTGAAATGAATGATGTCTGTTATGAAAACAGCAGAAACACATTCAAAATGTAATTTTCCTCACCATTAGCTACTCAAAGCCTTAATGGTCTAGATACTATTAACTTGATCCTCCTCCCCAAAATCTCATCAATGGGGCAGATGTGGTGCTCTGGATATGCTGTTGTCGGCAATAATTTAATGAGGTAATTATTTGAGGTATAATGTTCCTCCTATTTTCGCAAACACATACAAATGAATGTCTATAAACATGTTTTTACATTCTCTAGTTTGCTGAGTGGTGTTTGGACTATGGCACCCATGGCTGTCGCATCCCAGACAGACCCTACTCTCTTTTTGAAGGTAAAATCTTTATTATTATTTATCTATTATTATTGTTTCATTATTATAATAATAGTAATGTTGATATTTCAAATTTGCACCAGAAAGACTAAAAACTGGCTGCGGCAGTTGTCTTCAATTCCTGGAACCTCATCATTTAAATCGATGTGGAAGCAAACCTGTTGTTTACGTTGCAAACATTTAGTCTCCAGTTCATTTTAATTATACAGCAGGCTGAGTCACTTTGTCTGTGTGAAGGTAGAGTGGCCTGGCACCCTGCTACAGCAGATAAGCTCATCTGTGTAAAAATAAACCACTGACTATACACTATTGAACTGATAGTTCACAGAATCAGACTTATGTTGAAGAAAAAAAAAAAAATCACGTTCTAGTTACTGAATATTGAAATCACTCCCATATTATCCCACTGAGACTGAAACATTATATATGAAACACAGTATTGTGGTTCCGAATAAATTCTGATGTAAGTGTTGTAATGATTTATACTGAAATCTGACATTTCAGTTTTGTTATGCGCTCATATCCTCATATATGTAATACTGTGGCGGAAAACTATTTTGTAGTTGAAAAGTGACTTATATATACCTGTCTGAGCCTTTTATGACATGTCCATCACTTAGATACTGTCCGAGGACTTATTTCCTGTCCGCTCTATCTTCAGAGGAAACATACACAAATAAGTTTCCTGTGTCTTAATTCCTGTGTCAAACTGCGCCTACAGAACCAGAACTGGCTCAGACAACAGTCTTAGTTCTCCAATATAAGAAGCTTGCATTTGGCTGTTTTCCATCAAGGTTTTAGCTGGCTTCGGTTGCCTGCAGGTAAACAGGTCACATGAAGAGCAAGAAGAAGCAAGCAACACATTTAATGAAGAACATCAGCTTTTTAATTTACATGTATTCATATGCAGCTGTATATAGAACTTATGTGCAAATGAAATGCCATTTGGACCCTAAACAGCTACAGCTGTGTGTGAAATGTTCAACTCGTGTGATGAAAGAAACTGTCAGACTGTAAACAGTGTGCGGAGAACAGAAGACAGCCTGGGCCTGAATACCAGCTGTCTGCACCAGAATCCCCAAAATATTGTCTGTTGCTCCCAGAAGCACTCCAACCTTCATTTGTTTTTGACTTCGCTAGGTTTGAATTTTATTAGTAAATGTAAATTATGAGTATAATTGGATGTGTTTTTCCTCCTCAGGTATGGCAGGGGCCATCCACTACCTTTCAGAGATGGCGAGCCCTGAAACTTCCTGTTTCCCTGCCTTTGAACTTTGACCTGCCAACTGACAGGACTGAGAGCGGTGAAAGGGGGACAGGGACAAACCGTTTTACTGAAACACTGGGCAGGGATATATCTGTGTTATAGCTTTTAACTGTGTTCATCATTGATTAGTTAACTGGACTGAAGCTATGGATGAGACGGTATCTGAGCAGAGTGCAAATCAAAAAAATATCCAGAAAGATAAAGGGAAGATTCTTTTCGGACAAAACTACAGGTTGAACGTTTTTGATCCAAAAGCAGCAGATGGATTGATCATTTTCCTCTTCTGGACGGTCACCTGCTTCCTGTGGGCCTATCATAGGAACTATGTGGGTCCCCTGTCATCCTCCTGCAGTGTACGGTGTTGAGACATGGACCCCATGAGCCCCCTCTAAACCCATTAGATTATTGCCAGGTGGCACGGACACAGAGGAACACACTCTAAGCCCCCAGCCTTTAATATCATAGCAACTAGGCTAAGAACAAGGGTGTGTGTGTCTGTGTGTGTGTATTTGTGCTTTTGTCTTTGTGAGGACCAGTTTGACCATGAGACCCTACATAGTGAAGACATTCTTGCTGGTCCCCACAGTCTGCAGCAGAGCTTCTTGTTGGACTTAAAATAGCCAGAATATCTCCACACTACTGAATTCCTCTGACCCTTCTTTTCAACAATGTCCTCATGTTTGGAGTCTTGGACTGTGTCCATTGGGGAGTCTTCTTCAGTACATATATATCAAGGAAAGGTTATTTTGCGACAATTATCATAATCGTGTTATCGTCCAGCCCTAGGTGAGAGTTCGGCTAACAGTTGGGTTCTGGCCTTGTGTTGGTTAGGATAAGGAGCTAGGCAATATGTCAATAAGTGTCCTCAGAAAGATACAAGTACCTGTGTGTGTGTGTGTGTGTGTGTGTGTTTTTGTTGGTATCTGCCTCTGCATGCTCACTGTAAATGGTTTGTGATGCCTCATATCTCAGTGTCAGTGTAGTGATTTTTCCTCTCGCTGTATTTGTAGCCGTGCTGTTGCAGTTCTCTGGGTATTTGTCACATCGTGGGAAAAGGGGGAAAACGTTTCCCTCTCATCTTCCATTCTACTGAGAATGAGAAACCAGCTTTGTGCTGTTTTTGTGGAGATGACTACACATGAATGTGAAAGCCGCGGGGTCCCAACATAAAGAAAGTCAAACATTAACTGTCAGTTCACGACACAATATTCAGACTTGTTTGCTAACGTTGGCACAGATTCTCATGCAACATTACTTTTTGTGCTTGTTATTCACATATGTGCTGAGTCATGAGCAGATCGTGCACACTCACTGTCTGTTCCGCATTATCAAACAGAGGGCAGTGTGATCAGTGTCTCTCCTTTAAGTTTCCCGTGGTTGTGACAACAATTGTTCATATTGTCAAAAGTCAACAAATAGTCTTCAAACCTCAACACACTATAAGTTGGATTTGACTTGAATCACTTATGGAGTCATGGAGGGGATGGCTAACAGAAGAAGAAGTCAAAACAGACACATGAAATAAGTTTGATTTAAACTTGCAATATCCAAAATACAGTATAACAAAAGTAAAACGTTGATGTTGTGAAGTAGCATGGGATCATGGGAGTTCCAAACCACCATTGCCACAATTGCATTCAGCTTCTCCCAGTTCAGATTCCTTCAGTGTTCACAGTTCAACACGTCTGATGTAAAAGTGAGAAGAGGTACCAGGAAAAAGGCCTTTGTTTTCTATTGACATAACATCTGCAGAAACCTGGTTAAGATAGCTTCTAGCTTACAGCATGCTTCAGCTTTTGCTTTGGTATATACACTTGAATTTGGGTACAAGTGTTTATATTATGACTTGATGGATTCAATTTTTTTAGCGAGGAAGAGTAAAGGCCTTAAAGCCTTCAATAACTTGTTTCTTAAAGGTGCTGACTTTGTCATTGTTATTTCACTGGTATTGGCACAATCTTTTAAGTGTTGCACCCACCAGATGAGCACATCTGGTGGGTGCACGTTCATGAGGCTTTGCTAAAATTGAACAAGACACGGAGGTGTTGAATATTGGCCTATAAATCATTTGCTAACCTTATGACGGCCACTAATGAACATTAATATGAGCCCAGACAGTTATGCCCCCAACTTAACTGTTGTGTTTTAGGAACAAGACAGGAGGCAGGTGTGTGCACAGTCTTAATAATACTTATGATTATTGAGTAAAATATATGTTGTACTGATCATTCAGCATTACGTGTGGTCACCACTGGAGCATTGTGTAAAGCATTATTTTAAGTTTGAATTAGCTATTGTTAGCAGACATGATTAGACCCACATCAACAGCCAAAGTAAAGTTAGAATTGATGTGCACCTTTATTTTTATGTTTGTGTGTTTTTTTAAACATATTAGAAATTAAGTTGCTGATCAAATTCATGACTTTAATTATACTGCTTTTTTAATCAGCCTGCTCACATCAGGCATTTGAATCAGTTTGATTGAATCAGGGCTGTGTTAAAGCTTTGCCTAAAAGTGACATATGGTGCTCTGAGTTTAGATGCTTGCCATGGTTTCAACATGGAGTTGAAATGACGCCTGTACATAATATCCAATAATTCCGACAGCACATGAATGCACATAAATGCCTAATTCTCTTGCATAGATCTTGTGATGAATGTCATTGCATGAGGATAATGTCACATGTCGGTGTTTCCAGGTTCCCTGGTCCTGTTCAGTGTGTGTGATGGTGAATCGTGTCCTGGTCCCAGCAGAAGGGGGCATCAGTGGAGATGTGTTCAGTGTTTCACCTTTGCCCCCGTGTATGTATTTGATTTGAGCCTTGTTGTCATGATATAAATGTGTGCGTTTCTTTTTTCTTCATTAAGCTTGTTTGTCTTAATTGTTCTTATTACTTTCCTTTTGGCTCAGTGGGGAATAAAACGAATAGAGCACCTCTGCCACTCATTTCTGGTTTTATGAGTATTATTTGACAGAAAGTGAATGAAGATGGTCGCATGTTGTCATTGGTTTCTCAGTTCTGTGTGCAAAGGGGCAGACATGAATTGGATTTCAAACCGATTCAGCAAATTAAACTGAGAAACCTGCAGTCAATGTATTAATATGTTGCTTTGGGTTGAACAAACGACACCAAGTTCAGTCATTAGTCGGTATCATATTTTATCAGAAGTGAAGTTTATTTACATATTTCACAATGTATAATGGTATTATAAATTGAAATACTCAAAGAAGGGAGGACACAGGGTCAAGATGCTTTTGCAATTGCAGAATCTGTTGCATAGTTTGACATGATCAAACAGAATACATTTTCTAATATTGTGCTATATGTGAATTACAATATTAAACAGCCAGAGACCGAAAGAGACTCTGTTGCTGCAAATGATTCTAACACAGAGTCAATACAAGCTTGGCTGTTACATCCACATCTGGTGCCACAAGGGGGATTCCACTGGAGGACAGGCTGCAGTTATTTAAATGTGACATCCTGGTGGGAAAAATATACATTTCAGATTGTATGTGACAGAAAAAGTGATGTCAGAAATTAATTTAGATGAAGTGCTGATAAGCAGGTGAAAATCAGGTTTATAACTATAGGCCAGATGACTGCACTTAAATTTGCTGTTGATCCTGATATCCTGGTTCTCGATAAATGAATTTTCAATCTAATTCTGCCACTGATATTTTGTGGCCTTTTCCTTTTTACTTTACTCGATTCTAAGCCATCATTTTGACAAATCAACTCAAATTTGTAGCATCTCATAAAAAATAAAAAAATCATGAGAAACCTTCATAATTATGATAGTATGTAAATTATGATAAAATATATTGTTTTTCATAATTATTAGACACTACAGTTTTAGGTACCAAGTCACAGTAAGAATAAATATGACGTACATATTAATTAAAAACTTTTTTTTGTTTAAGCAGAATTTGTTCTGTAAAAATGATGAACGCTTGAATCTATTGTATCCACCTACTTTCTTTCTTTAATGAGTTTAACTTCATTTAGCTGTGCATCTCACACAGTAAACACACATTTCCATTAAAATATCAATGTGTGGTCTTTACTGTCAAAGCCTGTTCTCCAGAGGCTGTTGAACCTGTCATGGCCACCAGATGTAATTGAAAGTCCTCAGTCCACCCTTAGGAAAAATAGGCCTCATGCAAGAACCAAGCAGACCAACAGTTTAGTGTGACATGTAGTGGTGACAAAAGGGAACCTGTCAATCTATTTTTCTCATATTTACAACTTTCTCTTAAAGTACAAGTGAAATCCATCTAGAGATATTTTGCCTTCACAGAAACAAACACTTGTTTGACTTGAGACTCCTAATTCTAAATTCAATTCAATTGAACCTTTATATATATATATGTGTATGAATGTGGAGTTTAAATGCACAGATATTAACAGTAAAATGAATGTCTGGTGCTGTGTGATGTGTGTCATAGCTTGCTGAGATTCTTGGATAAGGCCCATGGTGCTTTCAGAGTGGTTGGTGCTTGTTGAGTGAGCGTGACGATCGGATGTCGGTGAGGACAAAGCTACGGAAGCTTTCTGTTAAAACTACCACATCGTCATCATCCAAGTATTTATCGCAGCGCAAAAGTCCAAAAGAGAAATAAAGTCACTAATGACATCACTGGAGTAGTCGTCGTGTCCTTTAACAAGACATCACTGTGTCCATACTGGAGCTGACATGTTCAACCTTTTTACAAACAGCGTGGAAACAAGTCGTCTCAAGATTCTCTAAACAGAAGCAATAAGGAACCATGAGCAAGCACATGTACAGTCAAATAGAATTAAAGAGCTAAACGTCATGTTTGTTCATTCATGTTGTAGTTAGGATACATGACGTTTTGACAGAGGGAAGATTTTAACTTCAGTTGATTTGAGATTTCATTTACATTATTTATCCTCCTCTCATCTTAGCTTTCACCCCGACAGTCAAAATCATTTCCATTCTCAAAAGTACAGAGGTTTGATAAAAGTCCTGAATAATCCAGTATGAAAATGTGTTTATTTACCATGACTTCACACTTTTGACTCAACTGTACTGCTCTTTTATTGTGTTGCTGTTTTGTGGCTGTTTGTCAGTGTCTGTCTGTATCTTGTTTTTGTCTTATTTTACCAGATTGCCTTCAGGATTTTATTGTATTGTATAGTATGAAAATATTTAAGCTTCATGCCGCTGAGTAATCCAGATCCAGGACCAGATACTAGTAAACTGCAGAACTGCTCGTTACATGTTTGTTTATGTTAAAAATGGAGCTCATCAGGAAAAAAACATTTTCCTGATGACTTTAAAAACAGGGGCATGATTTATTTAAATAGATGACTCAGTGCTGCCACTGGTGGCCAAAAGGTTTATTACCAAAATTGCTCGTGATGAAGAGCTGGATTAAGAGTTACACTGATATTGTACAAGTATGAAGCTACAACAAATAGCCAGCTAGATTAGTTTAGCATAAAGATAATCTGCATCTCAATTCAGGGGCTGCATCCTTTGGAGGACGCGGTCTACCCGGCCCAATGGCCAAATTGAAAAGAGTCTTGTCTGGTCTACAGACGATTTCGGCGTCTGTCCCATCGTTATGACTGTTGACTAGCCACAGAGCTGAAGTTGGACATGCAGAGATAGTTCCAGTGTCCCATGTGAACCGTTAGTTGTGTGAATAAGTTGAAGCAGGATACCTGAGCATCAGTCTCGTCACATGCCAGAACCAAATGTCACTAAAGGGCAGTGAGCCCTGACATAAATTGCTCTGGGAAGAATCACCCGGTGGAGAATTACTTTCTCGGGAAAGGAAGGACGCATTTGAAGGAGCCTTCAAATAGGACAGCCTGGTCGTGCCGCTGAGACTCAGTCTGTCTTCATATGCAGCCTCTAAAGAATGCAACCCCTGAACTGAGACACAGCAACAGTGTGGCTCTGAGTGAAGGCATCAAAAAAAATGAGCCTACCAACAAAACAAATTTCAAAAGCAGATCTGTGACACAAAGATCTGAGAGTCGTCGTGCAGCCGTGGGTCAGGACTGCGCACGGTTGCTAAGTGGAAACTCGTGCTAAACACGACCACAAAGCGCACGTGTTGGAGCGGTGGATGTTTGAGGCGCAGTGACGACAGCCTCTGAAGCTGCCGCTGCCTTTTTCACCCCGCGACAGGAAGTCACGGACGTCCTGTTGAGAGCTTTTATCTGCTCTATATTCAGCAGCTGTCTGAGAGGACGACGGTCGCTCCCTCAGTCAGTGTCACTCACCACAGAGACGCTGAGTTACTTCACACCAACCAACAGGTGCTCGTTTGTGCACCTCACTTGATCTCAATCACCATATTGAACTCCACTATCAAACGGAGGTGTTCACGATAAATCACACAACACCAGGGGGCGATAATGAAGAAATTGTTGTTGAGTAAGATAAAATAAACATATTTTACTACATGTTTTACAATATGAAAATGCAGCCTGACTAAGAGCATCATCAAATAATTTAATTAATATCATTTTTTTATTTTATTTTAAGAAATGTACATAAAATCCTGATTAAGTCCAGTTCTTATCATCATCCGTTCAGTTTGGCTCCTCTCTCTCTGACTTTTCTAATAACCACTTTGGGTTTGGTTTGCCTGAGCAGAAACAACTCTACAGTTATAAGTTTGAGATGTTTCAGCAACTTGGAAAAGTGAACATCACAACTTAAAGGTGAAATCAAGATGATGTGAAAGACTATTAAACCAAACAGAAAGTGACAGAGTGGAGCAGCTCATTCTGCACAGTGATCTCTAACAGGCGAGCTTCGGAGAAATGAGCTGAGTGACGTTGCCCTGGGCCACTCTGAGCTCGCTCCGTGTGCGAGGCTCTTGGCACGTAACACTCATTGATTCAGCAGGAATGTCACATGAGCGATATGGATCAGTGCTGCGTCTCCTACAGCAACATCACCATCGACTACAACACCACGCTCAGAGAGCAGGAGAACATTCACCCCTCTCCTTCCTCTGTTCTAGCAAATATTTGAATGTGATTTCATTTCAATTTTAATGCAGAAGCACAAGTGCATGATGGTATGCCACTCTTGTGTGTGTCTACTATTAATAGAGTAAAGACCCTGAAACCCTTCTGCTTACCACAACCCTGCAGTGTATGACTGAGACAACATACAGTGCTGCACAGAAGATAAGGGGAGACGCTTTCATAATTCAGGAAAAGTTGAAATAGGGACCTTCCATTTGAGGCAAAGTGTTTTCATCCACCTGTGTCTTTGCTCAACTGGTGTACCGTCATGTATCTTGAACTGTTTGTAACACAACTATCACTGCTCGCAATTGAAATCCAACAAAATAAGCTCATGCAGGCTTTTTGAATGGAGTGACTACAACAGAGGCCGATCTTAAATGCTCGGTAACGTAAAAATGATAATGTCAAAAGACTTGTGTCAAACAAAACTGTTGTGGCAAAGTTTATAGTACGCTTACATGGACACTATTAATCTGAATATTGACTGTATTCAGAATAAGACATTATTTAGATTATGATGTTTACGTGATATGCGAATGGAATATTATGTTCATATTCTGTTTGCATGTTAAGGAGCATAACCTGATTATGTAAATATGTCAATACATCCAATGTTATTCAGCCAGTTTTAAAACCACAACCTGAAATAGTTTATTGTACGATGCTAACGTTTTTACCATTTTTGGTGTTTTCTTTCTAATTTTGCTAAACCTACAACTCCTTTCTATTTTTTCATCTTGCTCACAAACAGGCAATGTTACATCAAGCATTTGGTAACTGCTGTAAAATGCAAAATGCTGTGAAAACGTCAATAGTAAAGTATAGTGCAATTAAGACATGTACATGTCCACATATCTAAATTAAATTAATGCTTATTCCAAGTATGACCTTATTCAGGTAAAGGTAAATGAATTGATGTCCATGACAACGCAGTCTCTGACTCTATCTAGCTATCCATCGAACCAAATCTTCGACACTGTCAAAATGGTTTCCTGTTGCTTGTACATTAGTGAGTCAAAGTTTACTAAAGCTGAACTCTAGGCTGAAGAATTCTTGCAGACTTACTGCTCCCACAAGCAAATCCAGTGTTTCAACAACATGTGGATGTTATTAATGCTATAAGGCCCCTGACATGCAGTAACACTCCCGAGCTCAAACAGTTTTTCTGCAGCATACATGATCAAACTCTGCTAGTAACACAGGACTAATGGTGTTGCTGGCTTAATGCCACAGAATGATGATGACTGATGATCATGTCATCATTTTTATGTTCCAGAGTAACGTTAGGGTGAAAACCAACTCTTTTACACCGTGAGCCATTAGTGGTGGACCACAAGTGTCATTTTCATACGCAGGAGCCAAGACTTTGCATTTGACACTAGAACAAGAGCAGCACGCCATCATCACATCTCTGCATCGCTGGGTCCATGTCTGATGAGGTCAACGAAAAGCCTTAATCAGTGCAACACTCACTGCTGTAGTGGCTCATTATATCGTTATGTAACCGGACGACATATACTGCAATAAAAAATGCATCAAGAACTCATCATTTCGTAAAAAGCCCAGGCTGCGGTAAAATGCTGGATAGAAAGTAAGTCAGTGTCATGCGTGGAACTGGTTTTAAGAACCGTTGATGTGTTTCTGTAATAACTTTAAATCTAAATTATCCAACATAATGAGTTTGACAGGCATTGTTCTGCACAGGGAGGGTGGAGGGGACAGGTGGTAGTGGGTAAATCCAAAATCTTCACCCCAACGGGTCCATCATCACTCGTCCTCGGTTCCACAAGGCCGGCACGCTCACTGTACACACGGATCCACAACAAATCAAAAGTAAATGAGTCATTCGAATGAAGCAGTGTGCATGTGTGTGTGTCTGTGTGTGTATGAGGGAATGTGTGTGTTTGTGCTTCTAAAGTCCGGTTATTGTGCCTTTTGGTCTTTTCCACAGAACAACAGATTGTGTTTTCCAAGTTTTACATCCAAAAAAAGAGTTGCAAACATTTGGCAGGCTTCTTCTTCCTCTTCATCATCTTCCTCGGATTCCCCCTGTAATTCAGCTTCTGACCCCGTTCTTCTCTCCTTCCCTCTTTCTAGTCAAGTTCGATCTCCTCAGCGGACTGCAGACGCTACTTCTTGTCGCTGTTTTGAAATATTTGTTCGTAGGACGGTGGTGGGTGGTTGCAGTAGGATGGAGGCGGAGGGTAGGAGCTCATCATCATATGGGCAGAGCCAGGCTGTGCTGCGTATGCTGGGTGTGTCATGGGGATCCCTGGGTCACCACCCGTCATCCCATTGACCCCGAAGCCCTGCATACTTCCTGGCTGCTGGGAAACTGGAAGAAAATAAGCCAAATGGTTAACATTTAGTGTCAGATTATAATCTAAAAGATTTCCGTCTGGCTTTCTTTGTCAAAACCTGTGATTACTGGTGGTGACAGCAAATGTTCAGCCAAGTGCACATGACAAGTGTATTGACCATCGGGGGCAGCAAACACCCCTTGAGGAAGTACAAACCTGGCCTGAGATCTCACCTCAAGGCCCATGTAGTCTGTTAATAATAATAATCTCATGAATGAGGAAGGAGGAGAAGGAACTGAAGATGAAGATGTTTCTATTTGATATACTATGACCCCTCTTTGTCTATATTGGCTTTAGAGTTCATTCTTGAAAGTATGCAACTCAGAGAAAATGGAGACTTGAACATGATGTGTTGAATATAGTCTCGACTGTTCCGTCATACTGCTGCTACTGCACGACTGACGCTGGAGGTTTGGGGGTGGGCTAAGAAAAGAAAGTCTGAAAAATAATAGGAAAAAATAAGTATGTGTCAGAGAGAGATAGATAGTAACTGTACATTCAGCTGACCAGTGGCCTCTGGGAAACTGAGCTGTCTGCAGACATGCAACTGAACAGAAGCTGTTACAGTGATGAAGTATAAGAAAACTGCAGAAAAATCCATTGACTTAAAGGTCCAGTGTGTAAGATTTAGGTGAAAGGGATCTATTGGCAGAAATTTAATATAGAATAATCCTAGTGATGTTCTCACTAGTGTGTTTCATCTAAATTGAATGAATCGTTGTCCTCTACAAAGCAACAATCTGCATGCCCAGTGTATGTGAATGTTCATGGGATATGAGTTTTCAGGTGTGTTAGTATGTATAGAAATAATTCTTTCTGATACACAAGTAAAATCATTTATGTGGATGAAGACTTTTTCATTTTAGAATGTTTTAAATCTAAAACATATTAGCGTGGACGTAGCACAGAGCACATCTTTTTGTTCTGTT